TCGACCCCAAGTAACCTGCGGCTCCGGCCCACACAAAGGGAGGGCCTAGGGGCCTGAGGATCCTGTGTTTCCCACATTTATGCACATGATATAATATACAGTAATGTTAGGATATAGGCAGGTATCTTGTCACAACATGAAAAATATAACATTTTCTAATCTACAAGTTGTGTGAAAAGAACTCAACTTTGTCAAAAACATGCTCACAAGATTCTGAAAGTTATATATCTTAATATAAAATGAAGCATCAAACTCAGAAACATCATTTGTTACACAGAACAGAGTATATGCAGCGAAAAATTAAAACAAAAGAGGGGCAAAATTCCCAACAATAAAAAATACATAAAAATTAAGTTTTTTAGTGTCCTATAACTCACAATTTTAAAGACAAAACAATCACATAGACACTAACCATACTTGAAAGTAAAACGTACATTTTTCAATTCACAATGTTTAATTAAAAGACACTACAGATTAAGCACCAGAGATACTCAAAAATACAAAATTAAGTCATTCAATATTTTATATTAAACACTACTGACACATAATCTAAATGTTTATAAATGACTTACTGAAAACCACACAGTGTATGTACTTTAGGACAGCTCCACCTGGGAATCTTATTTTCTGGAAAATTTGCTAAGAAATGCTGACCTCAAACTTTTTGTATTAATTCTACCTTCAGGTCGCCATTATATGAAAAATTACCATAGAATTTTCAAAATCACCTTACATATATAAAGTTTCTCCCCAGTGAGGCTTCTTTCATGTATTTAACAATGTGTATGGATTGGCATCTTTCCTATATCACTCCTATTTCTCCCCAGTAAGTTCTTTCGTATGTGAAAAGCATCATGTGTGCTGAAACTATTTGCACATTGTTTACACAGAATACACAGTAAGAGTTCTTTCCCGTATTTTAAATTCACCATGCCTGCTGAAAGATTCCCTGCTTTGCTTACATACATACTGTTTCCCCCCTGTGTGAAGTCTTTCATGTACTTTACAATATCCATGTGTGGTGAAAGCTTTCCCACATTGTTTACATACATAGGGCTTCTCCCCAGAGTGAGTTCTTTCATGAATTCGACAATGAGTGTTTGTGCTGAAAGCTTTCCCACATTGCTTACATATGTAAGGTTTCTCCCCAGTGTGAACTCTTTCATGTATTTGACAAACTCTGCGTGTGGTGAAAGCTTTGCCACATTGCTTACATACATAGGGTTTTTCCCCTGTGTGAATTCTTTCATGTTTTCGCCAATGACTATTTGTGTTAAAAGCTTTTCCACATTGCTTACATACATAGGGTTTCTGCCCAGTGTGAACTCTTTCATGAATTTTACAATAGCCATGTGTAGTGAAAGCTTTCCCACATTGTTTACATACATAGGGTTTCTCCCCAGTGTGAGTTCTGACATGACTTTGACAGTGAGTGCTTCTGCTGAAAGCTTTCCCACATTGCTCACATACATAGGGTTTCTCCCCAGTGTGAACCCTTTCATGTACTTTACAATCATTGTATCTGCTGAAAGCTTTCCCACACTGTTTACATACATAGGGTTTCTCCCCAGAGTGAGTTCTTTCATGACTTCGACAATGAGTGTTTCTGCTGAAAGCTTTCCCACATTGCTTGCATACATAGGGTTTCTCCCCAGTGTGAACTCTTTCATGTAACCGACAATCACGTTTCATACTGAAAGCAGTCCCACATTGCTTACATACATAAGGTTTCTCCCCGGTGTGAAGTCTTTCGTGCATTTGGCAATATATACGTGTGGTAAAAGCTTTACCACATTTCCTACATACATACGGTTTCACTCCAGTGTGAAATCTTTCATGTATTTTATAATATCCATTTGTGGTGAAAGCTTTCCCACACTGTTTACATACATAGGGTTTCTCCCCAGTGTGAGTTCTTTCATGACGTTGACAATGAGTGTTTGTCCTGAAAGTTTTCCCACATTGCTTACATACATAGGGTTTCTCCCCAGTGTGAAGTCTTTCATGTATTTTATAATGTTCACGTGTGGTGAAAGCTTTCCCACACTGTTTACATACATAAGGTTTCTCCCCGGTGTGAATTCTTTTATGACGTTGACAATGACTGTTTCTGCTGAAAGCTTTCCCACATTGCGTACATACATAGGGTTTCCCTCCACTGCGATTTGTTTCATGGATCTGAACATCATTTTGTGTGTCTGTTTGATTAACATCTACGTTAGCATCTGCAGTATGAAGGAATCTTTCTTCATATTGATTCTTGTATTGATAGAATTTGCCTACATCTTCATTTCTGTAAAGAAAAAAAAAATCAATAAAATGGGTCTCCATAATAGTTTTACTGGAAAAAGTTGTTTTGATGCTGCAAAGAAATTTTGGCAATGAGTTAACTGAATGACTTGCAGGTTATGTTCAAAAGAGACATTCCCAAAAGAGTAGTATTCATTTGAGATTTTTACTTTATTTTATTTTACTTGATCTTATTTTATTTCATTTTGTTTTTGAGACAGGATCTCACTGCGTAGTTCAGGGTAGTCTTGTACTCACTATGTAGCCCAAACTGGCCTTGAACTTGAGGCAACCTGCTGCCTCAGACTCCTCAGTGCTGGGATTACAGGCATGTGACACCACACCCAGATCATTTGGGATTTTAAAGTTCTTATATTTTGAAATATAGAATGTTAGGCTTCCTTTTCAGTTACCAGTATATATGTGTATAGCATATTGATCATTTTGATATCTTTTTCCCCATCACTCTCCCCCTTCTCTCCTTACCTTGTTTATCTTTCTCTTTTCCAATATGTCAGTCTTTCTTTTCTCTGTCACCTCTCCTCTATTTTACTCTCTAATTGATATTTTGGCTTCTCAAATGAGAGAGAAACCACATGACATTTCACATTGTGTGGCTGAGTTATTTCACTTAACTTTATGGGAGGAAGATCCACCTATTTCTTTTGGCAAATAACATGATGTTATTTATCTTTTTGGCTGATTATAGAGCACATTTTCTTCTTTTCAGTGCTGCAAATGAAACCCAGGTCTTAGCACAAAATCTCCAGCATTTTTATTTCTTATTTTGAGAGATTGTCAATGATGATAAAGTTGTTCAGGCTGAGATTCAACTTGCCATTCTGCAAATTCTGCTTCTCAAGGTGCTGGGTTTACCAGAATGCACAATCACACTGCACCTATCAACAGTTTTCCTCATCAATACATCCAGTGATAGATATCAAAGCTGATGCAAGGGTTTACCAGTTACAAAATGAACTCCTTTGAGTATGGGTAAAGTGGTGTCTGTATAACATGATGATTTTGACTCTTTTGAGAAATTTACCCAGAAGAAGTACACCTGGATCAACTTTAAGAGACAGCTATGCACTGATTATCATAGTGAATGTACTTAACATTCCATCAGCCTTCTAAGAAGGTTAAAGCAGAATGGACTCAATTATCTGGAGAATGACTTGAAAACATGCATTGACACACTAGCATTCATTTGTACTTTGAATACTGCTTCATTTTTAGATATCAAATATGTTATAGATTATACATGAATAGCTGTGCTAAAGATGGGTTCCTGTCAAAACTCAAAGTTGGTTCTTCCCATATACATCTATATATAATACCTAAATGCCATTTCATACATTTTCATGATTCACTTGTCAGATTATACATACTCAAGCTGCATATATATTTGGAGAATATTTTGACATTGTATTGAACTTGCCCTCATTTCCTTGGTTGTCATATTTCTGCTCACACACTGATTCTTGAGAAACATTCTTTTTCCTTGGGAGTGCAAATTACCTTAGATATCGCAAGTAATTTTTGTATTCTTTTCCAACTTCCAGGTTATCATCAGCTCTTCCTGAATTGTAGACATAGAAATATAAGGAATCATTATATTTATACATACAAATCAATAGATTTCAATTAGATTCATGATATAATGTAACCAGAACTGACTTATTCTTCAAAATGTTTTCATATTCTTTTTAATGGAACAGCACAGATGAGCAACAAACAATATTCTCTGATATTACAAGTGAGAAAGAGCTGTCATCCTTACCTATAGCAGCCAGGTTCCTAAAGGTTTCCCCCATCACATCTCTGTAGAGCTTCTTTTGGGATGGATTCAGCAAAGCCCACTCATCATTGGTGAAGTTCACAGCCACATCCTCAAAGGTCACTGCCTCCTAAATGATCATACATACATTTTTCAAAGGAAGGTTGAGACTCACACCTCGTATATCTTAACTCCTCTCATAAAAAGTTGAATTGAGAGCCAAGTGTGGTGGTACACATATCTAATTCCAGCACTCAGGAGGCTGAGGGAGGATTGCCATGATGAGTTCAAAATCAGAGTGGGTTCCATAGTGAATTCAAGGTCAGGCTGAACTACATATTGAGAGCCTGTCTCAATAAAACAAAACAAAACAGGTGAACAGAAGCTGAATTATTCAAATCTTAATTCCATGTCTTGATCATCAGTTCTGTGTGCATGCACATTTTTTCAGACAGCAATTGTGATGCAACTCATTGCTAATGAAACAGCAGATTAGGAGCACTGGTTCTTTTGCAGGTCACTGCAAGGGTATCTGTGCACTGTCTCTAAAGCACGGCTCACACTGGGAGACTACAAAGCCACCATCCACAAAGCACAGGGGCAGATGAATATCTAGTGAATCACTTTGATAGACCATGGGAAATATCTCTTTTCAAATCTCATTTTTTATGACATTGAGCCTTTCTCTTTGATTCTACTTAAGCAGCACTTTGAATTTTGAATTTGGTTTTACAGAAAAAATAATTGAACATCAATTATAGTGTATAGATAATAACTGAAATTTTAACAGAAAAATTTTATTGGGACAAGTCTATAAACAATACAAACAGGCAAAGGCTACAAATAATCTTATAGCTCAGTGTCACTAAGTGATCACTTTTCACTCAGATATAAGAAATTTTAGGGTGGTGTGATGGGAAGATGAATAAAATGTATTATGTGCATTGAAAACCAATTTATCACAAAATAACTAGGCACAAAAGGAAAAGTTCAAAGAGGTGTAGTTGGTACATGCCTGCAACCACAGCACTTGGGAGGCTGATGCAGGAAAATTGCCTTGAGCCTGAGGTCAGCCCCAGTCAGGCAGATGTTTGAAATACACAGACACTGACTGAAAAAAGTTTTTCTTCAGAAGAATATCAGGTATCCATCAGAATTAAAATGATAAATTGGGGCTGGGGATTTAGCTCAGCGGCAAAAGTGCCTGCCTGGCAAGCGCAAGTTCGTGAGTTTGGTTCCCGGTACCGGAGAAAAACCAAAAAAAAAAAAAAAAAAAGATAAATTGAAATAAATGAAAAATATGAGATATAAATAAGACAAGAATATATTTAGTGTGCACACACTATAAGGACTTTGTATAGGGAGTAAAGGTCACTGAACACAAATCTAAAAAAATCACTACAAGATATCTAACTCAAGCAAAAACACTGAACAAATAAAAATAACCAAGCCTTTTTTGAATATCATTAAGAAAACAGAAGTGTGGAAGAACACAGTAACAATATGAAGTGAAGGGAGAATGAAGAATCAATTGCTACACTCTATCTGTATTTCCTTTAGTTCACAGTTTACAGAAACATACAGACCAGAAGCTTCTTTCCAATGTATAGAGGACACACTGTGTCATTATTCCTGGAAAGAGATGAGTCTTTTGAAGTAAACTTGAATAATCCTGCATCACACAACCAGTGGTATGGATAGAAAGCACTTGGCTCTTGATTCACATATCACTACTTGTGAAAGAAAAGAAACTTCTGAAAAAAGTTCTCTTCGCAAATCTATAATAATCACTTACTGAAAATTCCAGGGGAAGAAACCAAAAGAATATTTTTCATAGAAACTCACACATGGTAAACTTAGGAAAAGTCACCAAAGTGGGAGAGTGGTCATCCATAGGGCAAGAGAGGGTTGAGTCAGGTGGGGTATCAATCACTGAGATGCTGTCAAACACTGCCTGAGTCCAGGTGAAAAAGTTGCTGAATATTCCCAGGTTACTTACATTATTAGTGTTAAGTCTCACTAACGATTTTGAGAATAAAATTTATTGCAAAATACTTAAGAACTAAATCATCATTGAGAAAGTACACCTTTCTATATCTCTCTGGTGTAGGCAAAGAATTTATAAATAAAGCCCCAATCACACAAGAACTACCATAAGGAATCAACAACTGGGATCTCATCTTATTAAAAAGCTTTTGCACAGCAAGAGAAACCAACAGAGTACAGAGACAACCCACAATGTGGGAAAAAAATGTTTACCAGATATTCCTCAGACAAAGGTTTATTATAAAGAATATATACAGAGTTTTAAAAAATCAGACCACCCAAATTTAAGGACCTAATCCAAAAATGGGCACTGGAGATGAATATACACTTTTCAGATAAGAAATACAAACAGCTAATAAATATATGAAAAAATGTGCAGCATCACTGGTCATTCAAGAGATGCAAATTAAAATAACACTGACAGTCCATCCTCACCCCTGCAAGAATGGCTATTATCAAGAAACCAACCAATAACAAATGCTGGAGGAACTGTGGGGAAAAACAAAATCTTCTCCACTGCTGGTGGGAGTTTACATTAGTATAATCATTGTGGAAATCAGTGATTCCACAAAAAACTACAATTGGAGGTCCCATTGATTCAGCTATTCCCTTTCTGGGTATCTTCCCAGAAGAATTAAAAACATCATACCACAGAGATATATGAGTACCCATGTTTACTGCAGCACAATTTGTAATAGCTAGATCTTGGAAGTGATCCAAATGCCCATCAACCAAGAAATGGATAAAAAAGGTGCAGTCTTTTTATATAATGGAGTATTACTCAGCCATAAAGAAGGATAAACTAGAGACTTTTACAGGTAAATGAATGCAACTTGAGACTATACTCATAAGTGAAACAAACCAGATGCAAATGTGTAAACATCGTATAGTCTCTATAGTGTAAGAAGCGGAAAGAGTAAATATGATCCAAAATGTAAAATAGATACTGTAAAATGAGAAGAAACTTGAAAACAATAGAGGAACTGGTTTAGTGAAGTGGAAAAAAGAAGGAAGAAAAGTCAAAAGGAAAAAAAAATATGTATACATAAAAGATAGTTAAAATCATTCTACTACTAATTTCTCTCAGTTCATTGAAAAGATAGGTTTGCGCTAATATTGTTTGGACAATTAAATGCCAATATCTCATACTCTGAGTAACGAATTGAAAGATAACAATACTCAATATATTAACAATTGTTACCCTTCTATCATATTGTTTTGGAATTTTGTTTCTTGTTTTTTTTGTTTTTTGTTTCTTTTTCTTTAAAATGTCAAATTAAAAAAATAGAATCTATATCTGTCTGCATTCATGTACGAAAAGATGAAGCAACATTCACACACTGGGAGGCAATAAGTAAAGCAGCATAGACACCCAGCAAACAAGTCTCTTGCAAACAAGAGACCCACAGACACCCAGCAAATGTGGGCAAACTGTATACTGCCCATCAGGAGGATGGTTAGACAGCGAGAGAAAGAGTGAACAGGTATAGAGCTGATCAATGTCTATGCGTCTGGGTTATGGTCCCAGTGCTGTGCCCACCTGGACAGAAGTTGTAGTTATTTTGACAATGATAAGGGTAGATGACAGAAATCCATGAAAAACACACCTTAGGCTATCAATGATTCAACAAAATCTTCTGAAGCTACATTAATTTGACATTATCCAAATTTCCTCAAAATATTTCCAGTGATCAGATAATGATATAAAAGGCAGCTCTCCAACAACAGTCCTTGATACATCCTTGTGGTGCGTTAACTAATGATCAGCTTGGAACACCCAGGTGAAATGAACCAGTGTGTTTCTGGGTGTGGAAGGCACACCTAAGGAATGTTGTCCATAGCATAAAAGGAGTACTGAAGGGGAAGATGGCATGCTGTTACTGGAAAAGCTTATGCTGCTGGTTTTCCTTACAAGAACTAAGCTGGTCTCATCATCAGAGGAGCTTGGGCCTCACTGTTGCTAAGGATGGCTGTTCTTCTCTTCAGGGGAGTTCTGGTCCTTACCTTTAGTGTTACTTCCTAGTTTCAGGACAAATCCCTCAGCCTTTTGAGACAGATTCTTCACCCTCATGGTGCAGACTTTCTAGCTTCTACAACTGACTGGTGGGCTTCCCAGTGCAGATCCTTGATATAGAATTTCACGAGACATTGTTGTGGGCTCTAGGCCTCTAGCTGAACTGCAGGAGACTGCCATGAGCTCTAGGTCTTGAGTGGGACTTGTGCAGGACACTGTCATGGGATCCAGGCCCTTCGCTGGATTCTCTGGGTCTCTTGCATGTGCACAGATCTTTTGTTTTTAATTTTATTTTATTTTATTTTATTTTTTGTCTTTTTGAGTCAGGGTCTCACTATGCAGTTCAGGCTGTCCTTGAGCTCACTTTGTGGCCCAGGCTGGTTTTGAATTTGCAGCCATCCTCCTGCCTCAGCCTCCCAAGTGCTGGGATTACAGGTGTGCACCACCATGCCTGGCTTGGACAGATCTTTTGAACTTCATTGCATTTGACACTTTGGGGTCAATATTATAAAATAATCCTATAAATTAGCATCCTATGTTAAATCTACTCCCTTGCAAACCTTGACTGCAACAATACTCTACTCAACAGAGCATCAAATTACATGAGGCCAAACATGAAAACGGACAGAAAGATTGATACACAGCTCTGTTTGAAGATGTCAAAGCAACTCCATCAGTAACTGATAGCTGAAGAAGGAAAAAATCTATAATGGAAAAGTAAAAATTAACAACATCATGCTTCCTTGTGATTGACTGCATATCACATAATTGTTTATCTAATAACTACATAATAAAATGTCTTTTCAAAATCACAAGAAATATTCACTCAAATAGAACATGTTTACAGCAATAATAGAGGACAAATTTCTAGGGAGAAAATAGTTGAAATATATTATGGACAGGAAGCAGAATGAAATCATTCTGTAGAGTAAATATAATAACAAAAGTAAAAAAAGAGGATAAAATTTAATGTGTTCAAAGTAATAAAAACTCTGCAAAATAGGATCTCATGACTAATAAAATTTGACACCAACAGTAGAAACATATTTAAAATATTTTTAAGAAATAGA